CTAAATGACGCATACGTACTTATTTTAGTTAAAAATAAGTACATAGATCGCATTTAACAGGATTTGTCCGCCATTTTGAAAAAAAAATACGGCTGAAGGATACAAGCCGCTTTAAATTGTGTTATTTATGAATAAAAAAATTAGTTTCTGGTTTTGTTTATGGTTGGGTTTGTTGATTTGAAAAACAATCATTGTCATATGTGAATTTTCACGAAGGGTGGGTTGTTTGGGGTTTTGTGATAATGTCACGATTCGGGAAACATACTATATCTAAAAAAACTCGTCAAAAAAGTTATTTTATCATTTTAAAATGAGTTTAAGGTGCTAAATTAAACTTTAATAATTAAGCTTGTCTTACATCTTGTATTGTGTGTCAAAAACTAACTCACAGGCTATTTTTCATCGCCTCTTGCTTCAAATCTGGTAGTTTTTAGTAAAATTTCCAAATTACTATCCAATTCACAAGTTTTGACCTGTTATTTCTGGTCTTCATCCTTGCCATACATTATTACCTAATTATAATGCAAAATTGCAAACATAAAGCACCGGCTAACAGATTTATACCCGATTTTTCAAATGTCCCGAAGTTCGTGTGATGACTCTGAAGATGTCACTGAGTTCTTATGATAACTTTTGTTATTGCCAGTGTGTTTCTTGCGCTTTAAATCACGGCACGACTTTCTCCTCTGTAATGTGTTACTATAAATAATAGGTATAGTTTTATATATAACCAAGTATATATTCAACGTTTGCAGTAGCGCCACGTGTCCAAATAATGAAATAAGTGTTATAATCAAGACTTAGTATATATTCGACTAAGTCAGCGACATCACGTGCCTAGATTGTGACATATTGCATTATGCGTTATAATCAAGTATATAAATTCCGTCACGTGCCTAGATCGTGACAATACTGGCTGGTTAATTGTTCCAGTGAACAGCCTATGTAAGTCCATTCCCTTTAATTTTATGAACTGATTATGCCCCCTTTTCACAAAGCCGTCTGTTATTACTGAAGTATAGAATTATCACTCAAGCTAAGCAAAGTTTGACTATAAAAAGATGACATAAAATGATTTGTTCTACACGTGTTTAACAGGTAACCAATTTAGTAATTTAAAATGTTTTGCACCAATATGGGACCTATTGCTCAGATCTGTGTTGTTTGGAGCTCATTTTTCAAAGCCTGAGTTAACCCATGATACAAGATTGAACATATATAGTCAAACTGACACTGCATCAAAGACATAACCAATAATGTTTTAGTATATTAGGTAAGGACCGTAAGGTAATTCCTTTTTCTTAAATGAAACTTTAACCTCGCATTTGCCTTTTGAAAAATGTTTTTTGCCATGACCTCAAAAGATAGATTTTGATCAAGAGTTGCACTTTAATATTTAACAAATGTGGACTTTACACCATTGCCTTTACATGTGACACGGATGTTAGGATCATGTTTAAGTTTTAACTTAGACCCATAAGGAATAGCCTCTGTCTTGTCAAGATGCAACGACAATTAATTGTCAATTAATCAATCACTTGTATCATATGATGTTCCTTAATTTCAGATTTGTTTTTACCAGATTGAAGGATACATGAGTTAAAAGCATATAAAAAAGCTTATTGCTTATGACCACAGACATGTCACTGACGTCATGCATACAATACTGCCTTTGTCCATTTCAAATCCAATACAATCAGTCAAATGAATCAAACATATGTAATGTTAAAAACCACTTCTAAAGCCTGACTGAAACTGATAAACAAACCCCAGTCCTTAAAAAAAGACTCAACTTGGTCATATACATATCTCTCAAACATTTTGGAAACAATGCATAAAATTGAAACAGGTCTATAATTACGAATATGTGTTATGTCACTTTTCTTGTATAGAGGGACAACTCTAGACATTTTAGATCATTAGGTACTTCACCTTGTATGAGAAGTTGACAACATGTAAAATGACTTGCCATAATGGATGCACCATTTTTGACAAAACGCGATGGAATATCATCCGGACCTGTAGCTCTATTTAAATGAGTTAAGATATTTATAAACATTGTTTTTAGTTACAAGTGAAAAAGAATGTTTGTGTAATATATAACTACTTTGTCAGCTTTAAATTTGGCATTTTTCAACAAGCTTAGCTGCAACAGCGGTGCATGAACATCAGTGCAATTTCTTGTATTAAGTTCTTTAATGCCAGAGTGTTGAATTACACTTTAAGCTTCAGACGTAGATAATGGACATCACACATTGCCCTCTTGTGCCACAAATTAATACACAGTTATTTTAAAATCAATCCATAAATGACAAAGTTATTGACCAGACAAGAAGTTCGAAGGACGTACGGAAGAACGGACGGACGTTATATAACCAAATGTGGGGCATAAAAAACACTTATAAATAAAATGAAAGAAAAAGTCAATACCAACATACACCGCCCAGTGTGAGATAACTCGCCTTCTGAACTCCACTAAATCTCCTGCTTCAAGGTTCTGGAAAACAATAGTGTTGTGGAGCTGAACTTCTTGTGCTGCCATCACCAAACAGTCTTAAAGATTATATAGTAATAGCTTTCATTAACAACAGAAAAGAATGTAAAACTACAGTAAATTATTTTTACAAAATATGTACGTCTGTCACTTTTGTACATCTATTACATGATTTTCAGTACAAAGTAACACGAAATGTTTATAATGATAATGACATAGTAAAACTGTAAAACATATCAACATCTGACAGTCAAAAATGTATGTTTGAATGAAGATGTAAATTTATATTCTAAATTTATAAAAATACCGCAAGAATATGTTTGCTAATTTGTTTTTCTGGTTTATGCAGCAAATTTATAGACATTTCTTGGTAACATCTAAGATCTAAGTTAGTTCACTTAACTTAATAACTTAACAGTACATGTAATAATTTATTTCTATGCAGTTGTCCTCTTACAAATCCCCCGTGATGAAAAGATTATTAGGCTTATTTCTGAGATCAATTGTAACACGAAAATTCGCCTTGCGATAGGATCGAACCAGCAATCCGTGGATTACTACAGCTTGCTCTCTCTATTGAGTTAAGCAGACAGACTTCTCAAGGTATATACAACTTCGTAGTTAGTAAACTGTACAGATTTATAGGAGCCAATAATGATCATACTAATTAATTTTGCACATATCTAACTAATAAAATTAGAGAAATACAACAATTATTATTTACAAATGAGCATTGCAGTTATTAACACATTAAATGTCGATGCTTTACATCAAAGCTGCCGCTAAATGATGAGAACAATCATAAGTTATGTGCAAAATCAGCCTTGAAAATTGTTCTCTATTACAGTTGAATATTTTTCAAAACGTAACAAATTATATTTTCTTGTGTCAATAAAAACGGGGAATAACAAAATCATAATCTAGGGGGTCAAAAAATAGAACATCAATATAATTTACATAGAAAGGGAAAATGTCCTAGTTCAATTATAAGAATATAAACTGGCACATTGACACGCCATTTATTAGGTTAATTAAACAATTTTTTTTTTTGGAACCACATTTAAGGCCCGTTTATTTAAAAAAATAATACAATACAAGTATACAAACCGTGATAACTTTTGCATTTTCATTGACATGTAGATAATTAAAAAATAAATTTATTTTGTTATGTTTTTAGTTAGAATATATAAGGCATTTTAAAAAGTTAAGAGGTTCATTCATTTATACAATTACTCAAGAAAAAGGGCAAAAGGTTGAAAAGTAAATAAAAACTAAAAAGTAAATAAACTGCTTTAGTAGCATTTTCTCTGCATGTACTATTTAGAAATCAAACAGTTCAATTACATTTATCCAGCAATTTTCAAATTCTTCTAATGTATCATTTTGTAACGCAACAAATCTTTCAATTTTTAATCTGTTTAAAAATTTTCTTTTGAAGATACTTATATCTGGAGTTTGTTTTTTCAATTTACTGGTGTAAATGTAATATTTTGAAAAGAGAAAAATATACGATGTTTTCTTATCTTTAGCATGAAAGAAAGATGTAAAATTATCAAACGTAACATTTATTGCTATTTCATTAAGCCATTTGACAAAATTATTCCAGAATATTTGTACTGTTTGGCAGTCCCAAAATAGGTGTTCTATACTTTCAACATCCATGCAGCAAAAATCACAGAGACTAGATTCGGTTAATTTACATTGAAGGAGAAATGTGTTTGTTGCAATATTCCTGTGTAAAAGATTATATTGAAAGTTTTGTAAAATATTATCTTTGCAATAAACAAAAACGTTTTCGTAAATATTTTGCCATTGAAATTCTTTTTGAGGAAATCGTTCTTCCCATTTTATTTGCGATTTTGTTTTTTTATTTTTACAGAGTCTTATCTGTTTTTGAATCTGTGTTAACTTGTTACTAATATTGGACGTGTTTGTTTTTTCTATGATATCAAAAGTGCTTATTTCTTTAGGCGTTGAAGTTTGATTAATTTGTTGTAGTTTACGTTTCCATTCTTTGGGTATTGATGAAATTAATTTATAAAAGTTAAATATTTCTGTATCAGGAATGTCAAAAGTAAGTTTCAGCTGGTCAAAGGTTTTAAATTGTTTTGTTTCAGTGTTAAAAATATCCTTTATTTTATTGATATTTCGACATTTCCATTTTGGAAAAAGAATTAAAGATCCATTATTTTTTATGTGTGAATTCTTCCATATTATTTGGTCTAATAGATTTTGTGGATTTTTATTAAAATTTGTTTTTCTCCATGACAGTAGTAATTCTTTTAAGAAAGTATTTTCGATTTTAAGTTTCTGTATATCATATATGTTTAAATTACTTTAAAATATGTCGATTCCACCTATTTTTTGTAATTTTTTCTTTATTATCTCTTTCCACAATCCATGGTTATTTTCATCAAATATTCTTTTGATCCAGCTTGATTTAATCGAGTTCATAAAAATCGGCAAGTCTATCATATTTAAGCCTCCATATTTAAAGTGTAACCAAGTGCTATTTTTAAGGTTTTTGCTATTTTCCAAGAAAGGTAACTCTGTCGACCTTGTTTGATTTTAATCTTTACTTTTGTGTGATTATGTCCCCTTGACCACATTTGCTATTTGCTCAACCATAACGTTTCCCTCCTAAAGTTAGGGTCACTTGAGGTCATTCTTTGTGTAATCAGAAGTTGATGGTCATAGTGACATGAATATATGTTTTTCTGACTTAGAAATTATTATTAATAAGGATTTGGATTGAGGAATTGGTATTTGTATGTTTTATTTATTTGTTCTTAAAAGTTCTAATGTCAACTAAATGAAGACTTATTGTAATTAATACAGTTGTGGATTTGATAAAAGTTATTTTGATAAATTTGTATTGTTCTTGAGTGTTAGAATTCAAGATGGCAGCATATGTTCTTATCTTATAGTTATTCATAGAAATCACTGTTTCTATTTGTATTGCACTGATGTTTGTAAATTACAGTTTACAGCATAATTAACAGCACGGTGAGACAGGTGTGAGACAGGTGTGTTATAGAAGGAGTTTGATCCACAATCGGTATGTTATATTATGTTTATATGTAATTGGTTATATATTTTGTAAATATGTGAATGTTTTAAAGGAAATGATACATTGCATATTATTTTATAAATAACTGGTTAAGTGGTCACTAGATGCAAGTTCAATAGGATGTTTACATATTCAGTTATCTATTTTGTGTATGAATGATCACATTTAGTAAAGGTAAACATTCTTAGAATATTTATATGGACTGATCTGTTAATATAATGGATTTATTATATTTAAAGATAATATGTATATGTTTGTATCATATATTTCATGAATATATGGAATGCTTAATGTGTATATTTTCAGGGCTCGTTGCTATATGCTACATGCTATTATGATGATATATGATGCTATGTGATGCTAATTGTTAGTACTATATGTGTGCTATGAAATGTTGATCTGATGGACTATATATATTGGTGTCTACTACAAATTAAACAAGAACCAGCAACCCTCAAGTTTTGTTTTGAATTTACCCATAGGGAAAACACAACTGGGTCACAAATGGCGCCCAACGGAGTTTAATAAGTGGACATTTAAAATTTTATATTTGTTTCCTGTGTGAACACTTTTCACTGAACATTTTTGATAATTTTAATTGAAATTAAACAGTGAAGTGCAGGAAGTTCTACCAACAGTGTATTATATTATACAAGTATTTTCATATAGTTTGTTTATTAAACAGACAGTTCTTCATATAGTAAATCATTTTAGAATATTTACGAGATGTGTTAAATTTGAATACTCATCAGTTAACTTATACAGACATTATTTGAGAATATTATTCGCTACAAGAATTCATCACTTCCCAGTGTAGATCAAGGATTGTTCACTTTAAGAAGTTATCATAATTAAAATTGTATACATTGATTTTATGTTGTGAATTTTTGTATTGCAGGTTTAGATTTCCAATGGTATCTGTATCTGTTAAGTAGTGTATTAGTGCTCTAGAGACCAAAGTCAAGAAATTTCAGTACATCAGATTTGTGAGTAAAACATATGTCAATGAAATGAATATATTGTAACATTCATTAATTGCAGTTTCAACTGGTAAATCTTTTATGTAAATTGTCAGATAGATTCTTTTGTGTAAATTTTTATTTGAATCTTTAAAATCTTGTTTGAAAT